TTCAGAAGAGATTTTAGCTTAATATTACCACAAATTCGCTTGATTTTTAATATGATTTTAAAGATTGCTTAGCTATTTTAGTAGTTTAACTATTCTGTTAATCATCTAGATTTTATCAACAAAACATAAAACTTAGAAATAAATTAATGAAACATATTTGAATTTCGTGTGTGAAATACATTAATTATGGTAAAAAAAACATTTATTTACAGTTCGACTCTTATACCATGCAGATCTTTCTGATATTAAGTTAAATTTGAAGTTTGTATTTTGATATTGAAAAAGGTACATTTACATACCATTTCAGTTCTCTTTCTGAAAACAGCAGCAGCTGCAGCAGCAGCAACAACAACAACAACAACAATAACAACGAAATATTTTTGTAATCATATTCTGTAAACTTGAATAAAAGAAAGAAAGAGAGATAGAAAAAACATCCCCAAACACCCACGCTGTCAGTAATTGTCTGTTTACACAATTCTAATCTTAAGATTTCTACAGTCTCTGTTAATGATGTACAATGTCAAAATGTAAGATAAAAACTTGCTCACAATTATCATATGACCACGTGACTCTTAGACCACAATTATGCTGGAATGGTAAATTAATGAGTATTTTAAACGCTGTTGTCTTTGAACGAGAAACACATGAAATTTGAGCCACGTGCATCGTCTTTAATGAAACTGAAAATTCCAAAATGTAAGTGATAACTATTTACAAAATGCTTATTATTTATATCTATTATAAATGTTGTCTCTGAAATATACTAATGTTTTGATTGGATGAACAAGATAAACTTGAGCTCTGTTACACATTAAGCCATGGTTAGATTTAACATTTATATGGGGACTTATTTTGAAAATTTACTGAAATTCACTGATATAAAATAAGGTACAGTAGTTATAACGTTTGTGTGTGTGCGTGCGTGCGTGCGTGCGTATGACAAATTCACCTACGGCGCATCACACACGAAAATCACGTGCACGCTCTTCGATGAATTTTTTTGATCGTATTCTTTCTTTTGGAAGTACAAATTAATGTTTTTACCAACTATTTATCATTGAACATGGTCATAGCTAAAAAAATAACCCAAAGGTTTATTTGTTTTATCTGAAGTGTGTTTTTGGAGCCTTATGGCACAGTCGTGTACAATTTCATTACAAAATGCGCAATTTTACACCAAACCTTTCGACAATATGATGTTAATAGAACACTATACAAGAAAGATTTTTGCAGATACATAATTCTATGACAAAAATAAACCGGTGAGCATGAACGTATTCTATTATATATTTTGACAAAGGATGCTAATTTTAAAAAAAATATGACAAAATAAAAGAGAACACGATGAGAACACATTATATGTTATCATTAAAATATATTTCTTATTGAAAAAATTGACTTAGACTTTATAGAAAAAAATAAAGTTCTAATTATCTCCCTTTACTAACATGAAATGTGAATTCGGTAATATCTTTACAAATAATGCTTTTTGGAACTTACAAAATTGATAAATCTTCATTGAGCATCAAATTATCAGATTTATGATACAAAACCATAAAAAATTGAGTTACAGTATCCTTAACCCAATGATGGACTGTAAAACAGACACTTTACAACATTTTTTTGCGCAGTACAATGTATACTGGAACTCTACTGAGGTACAAAAGCCTAAAACTAATATTTATTATATAAATCATCTGGGGCACTTAATTAAATTAAATTATTTCAATAGTCAAAATTCCCCAATGTGTTCTAGTTTTACTTGTCTCCCTTTAATTGATATCTGGTCAATTTTATCTTTCATTTAATTTCATTCTCACGATCGTTTAAACTGACCGCTATCTATGTTAAATAAGCTTCCATATGGTCTTTAAAGGCACAAAAAGCAGTTACACTGTCGAGTATGGACTCCAGACATGTCACAAGTCAAGGATTTACTTTGAAGCACGAAAATATGTCTTTGTAAAGCGGTCAATGAGCACCTCAACGTATAGTTACGTGAAACAATAATGAATGAGGTTAGCCCTATAAGTGCTGTTGGTGCAAAACGAAGAACCTGCTTTTCAAACCGTCCCGACGTACTACGGGCTCACGCACCCTAGTACCCTGCCTACTCTGTATGGCCACTTCCCTCGGCTTCAGTCAGGAGATTGGCAGCTGCTTCGTAGAGAGTTTAGCCTAACTCCCCAACACAAAGTGAAAGTAGTACAGAAATACCGCTTAACTCCCCAACACAATGTGAAAGTAGTACAGAAACACCGCTAACTCCCCAACACAAGTGAAAGTAGTACAGAAACGCCGCTAACTCCTTCAACACAATGTGAAAGTAGTACAGAAACACCCGCTAACTCCCTCAACACAATGTGAAAGTAGTACAGAAACACCGCTAACTCCCCAACACAATGTGAAAGTAGTACAGAAACACCGCTAACTCCCTCAACACAATGTGAAAGTAGTACAGAAACACCGCTAACTCCCCCAACACAATGTGAAAGTA